TAAAAATAAATAAATAAAAAAAGTAATTAAACGATACATTAATAGGAAAATACATTTTTTATTTGTAGTATACTAAATATACTTTTTCTATAATTATTTATAAAATATATTCTTGAAAACTGGGAAATAACTTCATTGGAAGAAATTTAAATTATATTCTTAATTCTTAATTTTGAATGTCTATGTATATTTTTATGATAATTAAAAATAATTAAAAAAAGCAATGGGATAATTTTTTTCGATTTACTCAGAAATTCAAGCTATCGATAATTATCGAGAACGAAATTTTCAATGGGACAGACTTTTCTTCGATTTATCGCGACTTTCGATTTAGAGGGATACAAATTATCGAGACTCGAGTGAATTTGATTTTATCTATTCCTCGTTTTTGCCTTAAGCTTATAATTCTCTTTTCGAATCTCAATTAGAGTAGAATCAAAATGATTCGCTTGCTCGTTTTTACCTTATTTCAGCTTCCATGTGTTTCAAATATTATACTAAAGTTTACTTAAATATTTCTTTCTAATTCCCAACTAGGTCTAACTCTCTTCAGTTCATCTTGATTCATCTTCAGCTATTATAATTGTCTTTTATACATATTTTATTTAGCAAATTTTCTTCTTCATGAGTTTCCCCCAAATCTCCTTCACTGTTCGTTCTTTAAATTTTTCCTTGCTCTCTCATTTTTAAGCTGCCCTAATCCACATATATCTTTAAGCTAACTTTATACAAGTTTTCTTTTTGTTCTTCTTAGCCATCGCCCTCTGCGTGCTGTTGCTTTGTTTTTACTTCTTACTTAAACAATTTTGCGCCGTGTTTTTGTTTTCCTTTGTTTTTGTTGTTGTCATGTTTTCTTTTTATGCTTTTGTATTTTCTGTTTTCCCGCCCACCCCAACGAAAGTTTTTCTTTAAAGCTTAATGTACCGTTGTGGCAACAATAACTGAGAAGCAAACAAGGCGCAATAAAAAGAGGCAACTGCTGCGACATATTGCTCTGTCAACTCCCTCTCTCTCACTCTCATCCCCCTCTCTATCTCTCTCTTACTACCCACCTCTGCCGGCTTGTGCGTATTTATTTGCGGCATTTTACGCATTTATTTGTTTTGACTTTTTTTTACAATATTCCAACCGAAGAGAATATCCAGTCTGAGCTCTCTCTCTCTCTCTCTTTCTCTCTCTCTCTCTCTCTCTCTCTCACTCTCTAGCTCTGTCTGTCACACGCCTCTCACACTACTTCAGTTTGAGCACATCCTATTGCTATGCCTCCTCCATTTCCTCCTTCTCCTTCCCCTGCTCCTGCTGCCGTATTCTTCTAATGCTGTTGCCACTTCCGTTACGCGATTTTCATTATTTCCGTTTCAATTTTTCCGTTGTGTTTACTTTTTCGCCAAACTTTCCTTGCGCTGTTCACTTTTTTAACAACGTTGTAAAGTCGTAAAAAACAACACACACAAACGCGCACACATACACACACACACACACCAAGTGGGCGGCCTGGCACGCGTGTCATTTGAATTTCCAATTAAAATATTTAATTTCTTTTCGGGTTGTCTGATTTCCAAACATCTTGCATTGGTTATTATTAAACCGCCTGCTCCCCCTGCCCCGTTCACTTTGTTTATTAGCATGCGAACGTCATTTTCACCGCTAAATTAACAATTAAAAATTGATAGCCCCAGGGGCGTAGCCTCACTTCCGCCCACCCCCCTTTGCTGAGCCTTAAGCCTTGAGCGTATGGAAATGCCTCAGCTATACTTAAAAGAGAAACAGAGCAGTAGAGCGGGGGGGGGGGGGGGCCTTAGGCGTGTGGGGCCTGTGTGCCCATAGGCCTTTCGATTCCCTCGTCGCAGTCACGTTTAATTGCTGGAAAATTTCCAAATTCCGTTGCATAATTTCAGGCGTGTTTAGGCCGAGCTGCAGGTAACTGTTAAATATATGCATACATAAATACATACATATGAATGTGTGTATATGTATATGTATTTTTATGACTCTGTGACAGGTTTAACCTGAAGCTTTCATACTTTCTCAGCTTTAATTATTGGTTCTAATGGTTCTCTCTAATATCATGAATCAATTAATCCCTTGTGTTCCCAGGTAGAATAGGAGATAATTTTTGGCTGTGTTATATGTATTCATAAACAGTTGTTAGAGACCTATGGGATAGGTTTATAGTGGAGTTTTCGGATGACTCCTGAAATTTTGATTGCAAATTCAAATTATCATTATCATTAAAATTATATCTATTATTATAATTATGATTATCAACTTCTGAAGTTCTGAAGAACCAAACGAGTATATATTATATCCTCTCTTCTTCTCTTTAATCAATCAATGAATCAATCAAACTTGAAGGGTTTACCCAAAAGTAATACAATGAAACTGAATATAAAATAAGCTTAAGTTTAAGTTCATGTTGAGATTAGAGATCTTCGATTGTAAGACTTGAGCTTCATATAAATCAAACTAAACTAAAATTTGTTAAGTCTCCCATGCTCTCATGTTGATTGTAAACCTCTCCTCACACATCAGAGTTCAAGGAACTTACGGCTCCTTTTTCAAATTGCCAACAAGCTTCTGCACTCTATTCATACAAATCTGTAGCTTTGCCGATTTCAATCAAAAATGCAAATGCTATTCATAGACCAACTCATTCACACTACTGGAATCATCTACTCTTTATAGAGCAATGTATTCATGGCTAATTCCTCATTGGCAATAATTTATGCTCAACGAAGCGCTGAACTTTTCCACTGAGTTGGCTAAAGCAGCCAACGAGATGTGGCCAAAAGCGAATTGTGAAAAATACGTTGGCGAATTTGCAATAGATAAGCATTATCTCATTAGCTAATTAGCGCGCGAGAAAAAATTTCAGCAATAAAAAACTTTTCACATACCAATTTTTGCAATTGGCCAAAAAGTTGTTGGCCAACAATTTTGGGTGCTGTTTCGCTGTCGTTGTTGCTGTTGCTGATGTTGTTGCTGTTGCTGATGTTTTTCGCCCACTAATTAGAAAGTTTAAATGGATGACACGCCCAGCTAATGCAAGGGTAGAACTTCTCATGATACTGAGCGAAATTTATAAATGTAGCTGCAACGAAACAATTTTCGACTGAGGGAAATGGCGAACCGCGAAAACATGCTCGAGGAAAGCTCTCTAGTAGGGAGTGTCCGACCTGGAGACACCCTTTAAAAAAACTGTCTCTAACGGCAATTGTTGGGCAACAGGCAGCAGAGCTCTACCAACACCGCCTCTACAGAATTGTAAAAATATCTAGAAATAAAAATTATTAAATTAACTAAGGTTCATTTAACTTAATAATATGTATATGATATATTAAAATCGATAATCGATCTATATTTAAAAAAAACTGTCATTAGGGCTCTAACGGCAATTGTTGGGCAACAGGCAGCAGAGCTCTACCAACACCGCCTCTACATCATTTTAAAAAATATCTAGAAATAAAAATTATGAAATTAACTAAAGTTCATTTAACTTAATAATATGTATATGAAATATTTAAATCGATAATCTATATCTATCGATTTTTAAATCCAACTTAGTCTGCTTTTGCCATACAAGGATTTACAATAAAAATACATACGGACGTACAGCATCAGCCGGACAGTGGTGAATCAGCTCTCAGCTCATTCTCCCGTTCAATTTATATGGTTTATGGACTCTGCCACGCCCCCATCTACCCGTTATGCAGCTTTTAACAAAACCATTATACCCCGATTTCCAATTTTCAATGGGTTCAGGCTACATATAATGCGCTCTGTGTGTGGGGCTAACAAAAGCAATTTCCTACGATTGATTTATGACGCATGTGCGTGTGTGTGTGTGTGGCAGACATACGCTTTTTAAGCTAACAGTTAATAAGCTAACCTCAAACTCTCCCTCTCTCTCCATCTCTCTCGCTCTCTCATCTAGACTGTCCCCGCTGAATATGCCGGACTATGCGGAAGTGGCCTGCTCGACATTCAAAAGCCCCCACAACAACAATGCAGCGCCGGCTTCCGGTGGCTCGTCGCTGTACGATAGCTGCGGCGCGTATGCGACAACGAATGTGGTGGCCAATGTGAAGCTCTACCAGAACCGCTATGCCACAAAGCCGGCCAGCGGCAGCAATGGAGGCAACACTGATTACCAATCGGCGGGCATGTACTCGGCGCCGGCCAGCGCGCATTACGGGTGCCTGGAGGCCAATCCAATGACCATATCGACGGCCTCGACGGCTCTGGTGGGCAACTCGCCGGCCAAGCTGAAGAAGATCAATATCACCGAGAACAAGCTGGAGCAGCAGCTGCAGCAGAACGAGACGGCGACGATGAAGACGACGACGACGATGCCGAAGACGGAGCGCACGAATCCCTTCAATCAGCAGCAGCAGCTGCTGCTCGCCAGCAACGCCCTGAAGCAGGGCCTGGGCGCCTATGCGAACACCACGCTGGCGGCTCAAATAGCCAGCGGCGGTGGGGCCGGCACGCTGAGGCGCCAGCGTCAGCCGAAGACGCTCTTCAAGAGCGAGAACAACATCCTGGGCAAGTCGAGCAGGCAGCAGCCAGCAAACAACGTGGACTATCTAACCGGCGGACCGCCAGCATCGTCGGCCACTGGAGCCGATCAATTGGACGCCGACTTCTCGGCCCTGTGCAATTCGACGAATCAGCTGCTCAACGACTGGAGCTCCAATGACTTCCATCACTTCGGCAGCAAGCAGCCCAGCAAGCAGCATCTGTATGTCAAGGCCAAGGATGGCACCTGGTCCGCGGTCAGCTCCGATGCCTATCAGACCTTCAAGCAGCAGCAGCAGCAACAACAGCAGCAGCAGCAATTCCATGGCGGCTCAGGTGACAACAAGCTGCCCCTGCTGATAGCCAATCCCGCCCATAGCTCGAGTAGCCTAGCGTCTGATAGCAAATTCCTGAGTAGCTTCGGCACCAGCGCCAATGTCTAAGCACCTATACATATATCTATGCATATATATATATATATATCGGAAGGGGATTATCTAGAGAAATCCCTTGAGTTGTGTTTTTGCTCAGTAGACTTAAGTGAAAGGCTTGAAACGAAAGTTGTGAACTGCATTTGGGTAAGAGCTGGCTGAGGGCAAGCTACATTATACATTACATTATAGGTGTTGGACTACAAAAAGGGTTAGTGAGAGTGTCAGAGAGGGAGGGGGAGAAAGAGAGAGTGAAATATCTGTAATTGTAAGAGAAGACAACTTAACAGAACTGGGAACATGTTAAAGTGAATGAGATTCCAATCAGTGAGCAAGTTAAAAGTGAACTGTTAAATAACATGGACTACAGTGAATATAAAGGGAAGATCAGAGTTAGCTGAATTTGAAAAGCTCAAGAGACATCAAAAAGTGCACATGAAGCCAGAATCTCAATTCGCTGCAGAAAACTTGCTGTTAATATAACGCTTATAGACTATGCAATGATAACAGAGTTTTGGAATGTTAAAGTCACTCCATTGTTAACAGTATTAGCCGCTGCAAGAGAGCTTTGGAATGTAAACAGTCTCTAATAGCAGTTCATATTCCAAAGTCTCTGTTGTCGATAACATTGCAAACAGACTTAAGTGAATTGCGCAATGTTAAGTTAACAGTGAAACAGGCAAACTGTGAAGCTAACAACTGAACAGAAACTGGAGGCTAACATAGTCTGTAATGCGAATAGCCTGCGCTGGATGGGGTAATATCTGTTAACAGCCAAACAAATTGTACAGTGCGCAATGCTTGACGAAGAGCTTGGTATGTTAATTTATACTAATTATAGCTGTGCATTTTTATGTTAACTCAGAGTTGAGATTTAAAAGAATATCGATTAATGCTTAACTTTTACTTTTACATCTTTCCAATCCATGGAACTCTACAGGCTTTAAGCTATCCGCATTCTAGAATCTCACAGACTAGCTAAACATAAATTGCAAATCAATCAATATAGTTTGCACACCCACATAAATAGTTTGCACTCACAGAACTCCCATAGATAAACCTAAAAACTCTTTAGTAAATCCCAAATCAACTTAAGAGTAGCTAACGCCCGCTAGACTAGATAAACCCGTAATGCCAGTTCGATTTCCACAACAACGAAAAGGTGAGTGTGTCATATATGATATATTTATATATAGTACATATTGGCTTGTAAATAGTTTTGAAACCTTATAAAACATATGGAATATGAAATTTCTACTGAAAAAGCTAAGCGACACAAAGAAATCCCTTGACATAGAAAAGAAATTCCCACAAACCCACACACACACCATAAAAATAAATAGCACCGACGTAGTTATACTAAGTAAAGATAAATGTAATTTTTAGTACCAAATCCGACATAATTGAGCCAAAAAAAGAGAAGGAAAATAAAAGTAAAATTATGGAAAAGTAAACCCTAACGAAATACATAAAAAATTACAAAATAAAAACTCACCTAAAATACTAAACATTTAGAAATGTATTTAAAATCCAGCAGCACTTAAATAATAAATACAGAGAATTCATGCAATGTGTAATAATCCCCCAGATAGGCGACATAAATGCTAATAATAAGGCTGTTAAATGTAAAATATCATAAATAATAAATAATCCCCCCCAAATGGAAAACGCGAATTATAGAAGAAGAAGAGCGTAAAATGAACTCTTTAACTGCATTCAAAATTGTTTGATTGAAACATTTAAATTGTAATTTAATTGACGAACTAGTTTTAGTTACTGTAGCTAAACTGAAAAATAGAAAGCAGCTAAAATATATATATATAAATCTGAATAATATATATATATTTGCAGATCGAATTGTAAGCGATAAATTAATTAATTATGCAGCAAAAACAGAAAAGAAAAAAATTAATGCTAAAATAAATAAAATACTAAATAACTATCAAAAAAGTTAATACTAGCTTTTGTTTCATTTTTTTATATACTTAAATATTTATATTCTCGATATTTTTAGCGGCCACTGTTTGGAGGCGTCACAGCGACACCTACTTTCTGCTGGACAATTCCATGGATTATACCATTTGAAAAGAGGTAAATCAAGCGTACAAGAGGAAATGCTCGACTAGCGAATACCCTGACCCATTTGCTGAGTATGCATAGAAGAACAAGCCTTTAAGCTGACGAACGCTAGAATTTTGTGTCTAATAGAAAAATTATAAAAGTAAAAAAATAAAGTCAAAAGAGAGCTCTTAACTTTTTTTTTTTTTTTTTTTTTTTTGAATTATTTTATTTTTTTATAAATAATTTTAGTTAAGTAAGACTATACTATTTAGAATGTTTTAGAATCAATACCAAATGGCAACCAGAGATTTAGTTCTGGTACTTTAAGTCAATCCGACGATTAGACAGGATCTTAGATCTATCATCTAGAATATCATTTTGCTTCATATCATATCTTCCTATCTATCTATATCTATATATCTATCTATGTATATATCTTCCTATTTTACATTTTTATGAGTATAGATGGTTCATGATTTGATTCATCTTCGGGGCGACTGCAGATTGCCGAAGACCAATCAGAAAACGAGTTCGATTCATGCGTGAATGATATAGATAAGAATATGGTAATTCGGAGACCTACTGCGAATATCCAAAATTTGTTCTATATACACCAAGCTCAACATCATATATGCTGATAAATAGATGTGAATCTATATCATTAATTGAAACGAACTTTAATTTTGAGAGTTATTCTAGAGATTGCGAGATCGAAGTGTTGATAAGATATATGGATAGGCCTTAATCAATTCAATTAGTAGCTCAGATCAGGAACATATACAAACTCCATCGAGTCCCTCACAATTCTTGCTGCTTGTTGCAGACCCTTTAGCATAACCAATATACCCCACATACCCTAGCCGAATCAGTTAAGCGCATAAAAATACAAAAATCGAGTTCGATTCGCATTGCCGGCTGTCCTCTAATTAATTATGCCGCCCCCTTGCACACAGCCACGCCCACGCCCGCGCCGAGCTTCATTAAAACGAAATGAGTTATTGTTTATAGTGATACAGTCTGTGCCACGCCCCCCCCCCCTACTCGATCCACCTGCCCCCATTTAGCTGTAAACATGGCAATTGGAATTTCAGCAATAATCAAATGAAATGTCTGCCTATCGCTCTCTCTCTCTCCCTGCCGCATACACACACTCTTGTCCTGCCTAGTGCTATCTCGCTCTAGTCGAATCTCTATTTTTGTTTTCACATTTGGTTGTAAAACAATTTTACAAATTGTTATTGACAATTTATGTCTGTTGTTTTCTGTTCAGTTTTTTTTTTTTTTCTTGCTCTCTGTTGTTTTACTTGTGTTCATGTCCTTTCGTCCTTTCGTCCTCATTCGCTCGGCCAACGGATGCAGCTCGGAATTGTGCCTGCAAATTGCGCAAACAAATGAAAATCAATTCAACCAAATGAAGCGCAATGCCAATTGCAACAATTTCAACATCCCATTGGACATTATTAGAACGAATTAAATGTGTATGTATATAGGATATATGGAATGGGAATAGTTTATAATAGAAATGTTGTATATATACATATATACTGTCTATATAAAATATATAAACGCTTAAAGTAAGAACTAAAGTAAAACATTTTCATACCCATGAAGACTTTGAAATATTTGGGTTTGAATAAATGGGCTAAGGAAGAAAAAACTAGATTTCTTAAGAGCAAATATCTAGATGTTAGAAATATTTTATAAATATACATATATGTATATTAATATAGGTTCTGCATAGGCATATATAATTATTTTATTTTAATT